CTATTTTTCAACCATACAAAAATCATAAATAAGTCAAATAATAATAACAAATGCATTTTGACAGTTTTGATATTTTTCAATCATACAGAAATCACAAAATAATATTAAATGTATTTTGACGGTTTGGTATTTTTCAATCACACAGGGATAATAAATTGATATTACACATATTTTGACATTTTTGGTAATTTTGATATTTTTCAATCATGCAGAAATCATAGATTAATAATAAAGATATTTTACCAGTTTTGGTATCTTTCATTCATGCAGAAATCATAAATTAATATTAATATAATAGAAAAAAAATGGACGAGAGAATTTTGATGATTTATAGCTTCGAGCAGGCCTTCACCATAACTAAGGATAAGTTGGGACAAATGGAAGGTTAACCCATGGAGATGATTTTTTATCAACAGACACAGGGAGCCCATACCAAAACTGTCAAAATATATTAATATTACACAATTAATTTAATTTGTTTTTTGTTGTTGTTATCAATTCTTTGAAATCGATGAATGCTTGTTCAATAATCATTTAAGCAACATTTTTTTGTTTACTTTAGATTCGGAGGTGACCCAAGTCGTATAACCATATTTGGTAACTCCGCTGGGGGTATGACTGTAGGGCTTCTTAGTATTTCTCCGTTAACCAAAGGATTGTTCAAGTWCGCCATTATGCAATCCGGATCATATTTTAGTCAGCTTGCATATGTAAAGCCTTCGGATGGYTTATTGTAAGTATGGTACCCTAGTTGTACTTTAGAATACCGATGATAACATAAATGCTTTTATTAGTACTCTTTCYTAATCATTTAAAGAGAAAACAAAAGAAGCAACTTCAATTGTCCTGKCGATACAGACATGAGGTCCTGTCTACAGTCCATGGAAGCTGAAGATTTAGTCCAAGCTAGCGCTGGCATGGAAATACATATTATGCCAGTTGTAGATGAAGACATCCTATCGGGTATTTAGCTACTAGACTTAACTCAGTCTGACAAATTTTTAAAAAAGTGGTTCGGCTACAAGAATGAGATATTTGTTAAGAATTAATCTTTCCAGGTGATACTAGTACAACATCATGCTAAAAATATTAGCCTCTAAAGTGAAATGAAAYTGATATATTTGTACAKTGGAACCTCATTAATCCGGCCACCAWAWAGACGCAGAAAGGTGCCCGTATGAGCGGTATTACCTGGATAGAAAAGGATGGAGATTTAAATTCCCCGGAACTCCTAAAAATTTGGTAATTATGCAGGGTACCCGTGTTTCGTGAGTGGCCGTAAGGTGGGGTTTCATTGTAATAGAATGTAGTGACTGGAAGTGACTAACTAGACTAAAGCAAATTAAAACCCTTGATTGAAAATAAAAACTAGACGATTGTGGATCGCTTACGTGGGCTTCCTGTAGCTGCGACAGTGGTGTTTCATTTTCACGATGCAGTCTTTGTTTGTAATAAGTCAAGACAGAATTAAGTTAATATAAGTTATTTATTACATCATAATATTTTACCGAACTGAACTCTAAGTAACTTCTTTAGATTCCATGTCTTTCTCAGTTCTCCAAAATAACTAGCTCGACTTTACGCTCTAAGAGCGTCTATATTATTCAAAATGTGCAAAATATCTGAAAGCTCATATAAACAATAGAAACGGTACAGTCGTTTTGTCAGTATCGTATAACTTTGAATAACATTTTGATCGTTTGAATCATGTAAGATCTTGTGTTTCTGTTCTTTTTATTTGGTGTTTTTCTTTAATTTGTAATTCATAATTTTACTCGTGTTCTGTGCCATCATCAAAGAGGTGTACCTTCTAATGATAGTTCATATTTTTGGATTTGTCTAAGTTTTTCAAATTAAACAATCATCAAAACAAATTTTAATAAAGAATTAAAATGCTTTATACACAATACAGATTTTATATACAGAGTTCAGTAAGCTCACACGTGCAGTTTTCAACTTCAAACACATGACATCGTCAGTTTTTGAAGATTTTGTGATTGACATCGAACACTTGTTGTGTCGAGTCGGCGGTAGAAAATATTGCCCAGTCATTTCTGCACGAATCATCCGACAACCTTGAATTATATACCTCATTCCATGTCGTTTGGATGCTAATCAGTTGATTTTGTAAGATTTTCAGCTCTTTAGAGCATTTTAGCTACATTTTAGAACCATTTAAAACGAGACAACTTTTTGCCGCCGTCTGTCAGCCATTTTGTTTTCATTCTCTGAGATTGCAGACCATCTGCAACGCAGGCGCTACCAATTTGAAGCATCTTCACGACGATGACGCAAAGTCCACTTGCATTTTAAGACTTGRTCTTCCACAGGAAGCCCACGTAAAAAATTAAAAGCCTACAATCTGAGGGTCGTACCTTGCAACACATTTGGGGGCTGACCATTTGAGGTGGTGGGGAAGGAAGGATGATCAGCTGTTTACAGGAAAATTAGACGCTGAACAAGCAATTGAAATTTATTTGCTAAAATTACAGAGATTCTATATAAAACTTTTGCCTGCAGGAATGTTTTTCGGTCCATCGGGCCGTGTAAGAATTATATTTTCAAAATCATCCACTTTTTCCCTTTTTTCCCTCAAATAAAGATTTCTGCTGTCCCTTAGCATTTTGTAAATGTAAAATGTAGTTGCGTGGAGTGTATCATGTAATGGTCAGCTCCTCAACTTTGCTAAAAAATGGATGCTAATTAACAAAGGTATTACTTTATTATTTTCATGTGATCGAGTCATCATATTGATAAAAAACAATTTCTGTCAATTTAACTTTCAGAGTCCGCACTTCGTAATGGAGACTTCACACAAGAAAGCACTCTCATGGGCGTGGCCCGCAACGATGGATCGTGTATAACTAATGCTATACCGGGTAGGAAATGTTGCTTAACACCTAATTTGTGAGAGTTCCATGTTCAGAGTGGTTTTCAACGGACTGTGAAACAATTACTATTAGTCAGTGTTTAATAGTGTCTAATAGTTGTATTCCAATAAAAGAAAACAATGGGCGTAGAGTCTACTAGCGTCTATTAGCTCAGGAACTATTTCACAGTCCGATTCCTCACTCTATGGAAGACTCAACTAACGCTAATACCATTTCGCACTATTTACATATTGATTATATTTACACTATTTAGAACTATCTGATGGTCCGATTAAGCTTTCAACTGGAAACCTGAACTTAGAGACCTTTGAAGGAGCTATCARCCTCACGTACGCAGGGATACTTCGTAGATTTCATTACATTGATGTGCCCGGATTTAAAGAGTTCTTTAAAAACAGAACATTTCAAGAATACCTGGGCATATCGAGGGGGAATACGCAAGACGTAGAACACGCAAGACAACCGAGACCGGAGCGAATACGAAAAAAAATTATTGACGTTGTGACAGACTGTGCATTTGCCTATCCAGCCATTTCTGAAGCCAATTTCTATGCTAACAAAAGTCAAAAGATCTTCTTTTATCAGGCGGAATATGGCACGCGCATTCCAAACTACTTTACAATCCCACCTTATTTGGAAAATGGTTATCATGAAACGGAAAAATTCATGGCATTTGGATTTCTCGTCAATAGCGGAGAACCAAGTTCACCAGATAGCCGTCTGTCCTCTAAAGTCATGAGGATGTGGTCAAACTTCGCTAAAACCGGGTCAGTATATATAAAAGTTCTTAATTGCACGTATTAGCAATTATAAAATTTTGATATATAACACGCGCTCTGATTGGCTGACGACCGTGTTTATATCAGAGGACAGAGACACGCGCGCCGTTTTATACTTCTTAACTAGAAACCTCTTTGCCGTCGTATGTACTGTTTCTATATAATTATAAGTTCTCCTCTTGCAGCTGTTATGTTGGTTATGAGGTTCGTTAACAGGAGAAAACTATATAACTATAAAATATCCAGGGATCTCATCGATTACAGCGGTAAAATCTTTAAGTGAATACATAATATCTTAAGTGAATACATCACAGCGGAGAAAGTTTCTTGTGAAATCGTCGATTTTCGGTCGTTCAGTGCTTCCTGTTCGTTAGACCTCTCTGAGCCTGGACACAACAACATGACTGTACTTTGTTCGTTAATCCCATAATGCACCTCACATTAAGGTTGCGTTGACGATAATTTCAGGAGGGGGCATCTGCATATGACTGCAAAAAACAAAACCTTTTTGAAGTCTAGCAAAAATGAATATTTTGTTGCACTTTTACAGAGATCCTAACAATCCAATAGCACTGGGGCTGAGCGAGAACATCCAGTGGCCTGAATACGATGAAGAGACACAACAATACTTATCAATCAAGCCAAACATGACGATCAACCGCGAATTACGACCCGGAAAAATGAGTTTTTGGGGAGAAGTCGAATCCAGATATAGGTTAATGCAGACGCAGCAATCTAGCGATTCGAGTTTCAAGAACGAATCTTCCTTTTCGGCCGATAATGACACTTATAATGGAACAATTAAATATTAAAAAACACTGGAAACAGGATGAGGATATCATCGTATATATTATTGACAAAGGGCAATAAATGAAATAATAAGTACTACTATAAGAACAAATTGACATGGATGAATACACCACGTGCCATTTGCCTTTCCAGGGCGAATTTTTACACTTGAAGTCTAATAATGAAAATAATAAACGGTGTGCCATGTCCTTCTTTCTCCCTATCATAACTGAATAAGTCAGACTCCCCTCTACCCCCCCTTCCTCCCCAACGAATTGAAGCAAAACGTTGAATGTCACAACTTATCTTGCTATCGAAACAATAATGAAGATCGGCCGAGAATGGATTGAAGTTTCGTCATGTTGAAACTGTTAATCCATTGTATGAATATGAAAATGTTGTCTTATAACCTTTATATATATATATATATGTTCTAATGATTGGAAATTTTATACGAACTAGGGTCCTATAAAATAAAACATGCATATTTCTTGTGGAGCTCAGTCACCTTTTCCATATCAATTTTTCTTTTATGCATAGTTTGTGGGTAACGTAACACCATGCGACGGCGTAAAAGACTGTGTCGTTTGGTCCTGCTGCTTGTGCTACCAAATCAAAACAAAAGGTACTTTTGGAATACAGAGTTTTGACGATATGAGTGAGGACTGCTTGAACCTCAACGTTTATGTACCGAACTCTGCAAGCGCCGTCCCCCCACTGCCTGTGATGATATGGATCCATGGTGGCGGATACGTCACAGGCTCGAACAGGGTGGTGGAAATGAGCTAACAAAATTAATACTGAACCCTCACGAATAAATAAGTTATGATATGCCCCTATCACAAAACTAAACACATTAGAATACATCGATTGATCCGGTCCGGCTTCAAACTGAGAAGACGCACAACTTGGGAAGACAAGAGTCAGTGCATCATAACGAAATGACATGATATTTTCAGCGTTATCCGGGGGGGGGAGTGGATTGTGCATATTTTGCTGATTCTAAAAGGAACCCTATGCATTCTCTTTTGTTTTCTTCAAACCGAATCGAGATTAGAGTCTCGTTTGGGGCATGACCTATGTACAGGAATTGTTTTGTTCCTTTTTTCCATAACGCTTTCTCAAAATACTTGTCTCCCTTGTACCAAAAAAATTACTTTAATAAATTAAATGTTTTTGGTCGATCAC